GGTATTATGTCATATTTTGTTTTCAAAGTTTTAGTTTTGCTTTTCACATTTAGCCGTTTAACCCGACATGAATTAATTTTGTGAGTGGTATAAGGTAGGGATCTATCTATTTTTTTTGTCCATATGCATAACCAATTGCCTCAGAGCCATTTATTCAATATGCCATCCTTCCTAGTGATTTCTAATCACATCTCTGTCTTGAATCAAAACCAAAACCAAAACCAAAAAAAAAAAAAAAACCCGTTGCTGTCAACTCAATTCCGACTCATAGTGACCCTACAGGACAAACTGCCCCAAACGGTTTCCAAGGAGCACCTGGTGGATTCAAACTGCCGACCTTTTGGTTAGCAGCCATAGCTCTTAACCACTATGCCACCAAGGTTTCCATCTTGAACCAAGATTCTGCCAGTATCTGGACAGTTTCTGGGCCCTTTAACCTGTTCTGCTAACATCTATCCTGGGCAAGAGCAACCTGTTTTAATTCACTGCACTAAATAAGACTTGATATGTTTTAGGGTAAATCCCTCACCACCTTCATGTGGCTATTTTTGGCTCTTTATGTCTTAGTCATAAATTTTAGGATGAGCTACTCATGTTCCACAATAAACCCTATCAGAATTTTGACTGGAATAGCATTAGATATGTAAGTACATTAAGGGTGAACTGTCATCTTCTATAGTCTTCTCATCCATTAAAATGAAAAATATTCATTTATGGGGTCCTCTTCTATGTCCTTCAACAAAGTTTTATAATGTTCTTCACAAGGTCTTATACAGCTCATTAGTTCCATTCTTAGGCATTTTAATGTTTTTCCTGGTGCTGTTGCTATTGTACATGAGATTTTTTTAAAAACTAGATTCTCTAATTGAGTGGCTGCTGATATGTAAAATTCACACTGATTTTTAAGTACATCTTTTCCGAATTTTTTTAGTTCTAAAAGTTTACCTAGATATTCTCTCATATTTTCTACTTAATCATATTGTTTATAAATAACCACAATTTGCTTATTCTTTATCTCATTATTTATTCTCATAATTTTACTATTTCTTTTTCTCATTATGAATGCTCTCATATATGTTCACACATGTAAGAGCATCTCATAAAATGATGAAAATCAGTGACAGTGTGCATTTTTGTCTTGTCCTTTACTTCAAACCATTCAGTTATGATGTTTTCGGTAGTTTTCCAGTAGATGCTCTTTATCATGCTTAATGGAGTGCCCACCTAGTCTTGGTTTTATAAGCATTTATTAGCATAAATCTGTTACCAGCTTTTGTAGTATAATTTTTCTGATCTATTAAGATATCATTTTTCTTTTTTAATTTGGTAATGTGCAAAATCCAAAAGTTTTTCAAATACTGAATCATCTGTGTAATCCTAGTTATGATTATGTTTTCATACTTTACTGGATTCAATTTGCTAACATTTTATTTAGGACTTTTGCATGTAGGTTTATAAATGTGACTGGATTACAACTTTCTTTTGCTATCCTTGTCTGCTTTTGGCATCAAGATTACGCCAATCTTTCTCTCTTATCTCTTCTTTGGAACAGTCCTGACAGAAATTATCTATTACTTTAAGGTAATAAAAGTTACCTGTAAAGCCATTTGGGATTGAGAATTTTAGATTTATGGATTAGGCTATCCATAAATCTAGTTCCTCTATAAATTATCTGTATTATTTATGATTAGATTATCCATTGGGTTTATGGATTAGATTATCTAATTTGAATAAAGTAACTCACAAAATGAACAAGTGACTTAAATGAGCAATGTAAAGAAGTTATAGAATGAGCATAATATGAATAATGTAAGTACAGAATAAAAAAAAAAAGAACTGACACTGCTAATTCTAGTAGGAGCTCTTTAGCAACTACACTATGAATAAGAACACTGAAATCAAGGCAAACATTTTTTTAAATTCTTAAGAAAACTATTCGAAATATGGACTTGTATGTTTTCTCATTTCTAATAAAATTCTCCCTAAATGTATACTGTATAATAAAATACTGGCAGTGAAGTCTTCATTGTTAGCAAGACATTTAAAAATTGTTTACAGTGTCTTTATTTCAACCTTAAAAAATTTTAATTTGTGGAAAGATTAGTACATATAATGTATTAGTGTGTATACATACACACAAATGGATTGAAAGGTATGTGCTCTTTTTTTTTTTGATTTGGTATGCAAGTAGGCAAGTTTAGAGACCACCAACCAACACCACAGCAAAATAGTCTTGTAAAAGAAAATCTGATCTTTTCACTTTCTGCTTCAAATAGACTAGCAGCTCTCTGTGGCTCTAAGAAAATTCAAAATTCTTAGTATTTCCTATATGGCTTTCTCATAATCTGGTCCCTACCTACTTCTGTAACCACATCTATCACCATTCTCCCTCTTGCTGTCTACACTACAAGACTAAATGATTTCTATCTTAAGAATTCTGAAATCACAAATGACAATAAATCAACCAGAAAAATTAAACTGATCAAGAACTCTATCTGAAGAACAGATTTCTATCCATTAGCATTACTCTTTTCAACATCAGGGTGTTCACATATATGTATTTATGACTTTGCCTGGAATATCACAATAGTTTAAATAATGTACATATTGTTGTTTTCTACATATTTGGACCTGCCTTACCACTTAAGTTCATGGAATCCGAATTTAAAGGTGGAATTTTACTTTTAAAATGTCATCTATTCCAATTGCTATCTGATGCTTCTGAATTCCTCCAGGGATGAGAAAACCAGGGAATCATTTCCTCTTCAGGGTACCCCCTTTCTACTTTAAGAAAGGTCTAATCCGCCCGGCTACCACCACTGACTGCTCTGACCAGGATCACAACAGAGGGTTCTGGACAGAGCTGGAGAAGGATGTAGAGCATAATTCTAACCCACAGAAAAAAGACCAGATTTACTGGCCTAAAGGAGACTGGAGAACCCCCGAGAGTATGGCCCCCGGACGCCCTTTTAGCTCAGTGGTGACGTTAACTCCGAGGTTCACTGTTCAGCCTGGGAGTGGACAGCCCCGTAAAAACAAATTAGACTAACGAGGTACAGGAGTCCAGTGACAAGGGCCAGAAAGCAGAAGGGAAGAAGGAAGCTGGTGATAGGGAACCCAAGGTTGAGTAAGAATATTGTTGATGTGTTGTGAGATTGTTAACCATTGTCATAGGGCAACAGTTGTAGTAACTGTTAAATGAGAAACTATTTTGTTCTGTAAGCCTTCATCTTAAGTGAGAATAACAGCACAATT